TGGGAAAAATATCAATTCCTTAAACTGAAACACCACCTATTTCTTATTGGTTATGAGAAGGTACTTTCTCAGTTGGATTTCAGAAGTTTCTGGAAGTTGAGAGAGGTTGAACTATAAGCGCAGGAAGAAGAACGGGAATAGGTGATTCCTGGGTATCCACTTGAAAGAGAACGGGAATAGGTGATTCCTAGGTATCCACTTTATTTTATTTTTATTTTTCGCTTCATCAATTGTGAACAGTGTCAACATATGCCTAAAGAAATATCCAAATTCGATTAGATTGAGCTGAGATCGGAACGAAAGTTGAACGGATTCATGGATCGAGGGTTTTGAGATAACCCATGTCGATGAATTGGAGGTAGACATAGAGATGGAGATGAAAGGGAAGATGGTGACAATCATTCCCTTTTGCCAAACAAAAAGCGGAAAATAAGATGGTCAAACAAAAAATGTCGTAAACCCTCCTCCTTTCACGAGCTGTATTTTAAAATCTTGACCGTTAATCTCTCTTCACCGTATATCCAACGCTCCAAACTCTACTCACACCTTACTGTCCCGTACTTCTGCGTCACACCATAACAAAACCCATTCTCCTCTCAGTAGCTGCAAGCTGATGATTTTCGCAGCTCCCACTCACTTATACATACATATAAATCTGTATCTATAGATTGGCATAAATTAGTGTTTGGTTCCTGACAATAAGTAAGAGGCATGTACTTATCCTATCCACCTACTGCTTTCTATAATCGATTCTTAGAGCTTGTAGAATTCGCACTGCTTCCGCTCCTTCATTTTCATCTGCTGTTGCATCTAAAACCTCTGCGAAGCAGGATTCTGTTCGTTTTTATTCTCTCTCGAACATCGGTTTTTGAACGAGGAGCTTCTCGTCGTCGCTTCGATCGTCTGCTCTCCGGTGGAGTCACGGTTCAACCAATGTTTTCCAGTCCGATCAATTGATATATTTTGACCGTGCTTGTGCTAGCCTTCAATGGCAGATGAACATTGCTTGCCGGCACACACTCTTACCGGATCAGTTGGTTTTGCATTATAGTTAAATTATGGCGCTGTTGATGTTATTTTTCTCGTTTTCTTGTTTTAAATTAAAAAGCTGCATGTAGTTATATGTCTTGAAAAAATAAAATTGATGAGGAAGGAATGCGTGAAGAGATGTGCTAGGTTTTAATTCAGTCTTTATTTCAGTTTTGTGATTATACAAAGGAAGTGATACAATTTTTATGTTAATGTAGATTAAGCTCCCGTTGGGTCGGAATTCAAATCAAGATTTAATAATCTAAATCAAAGTCAACAATTAATTTGAGCCTCACATTTAAAGGCCACAACTTTTCAACCACTCATTTCGTCAATTTTTATCAAAATCTATTAAAAATCTAATTTTAATCCTCGCCAGAACGGGGATTAGAATCATAGGTTGACCCACCCCTCACTCTCCTCTTCCCCATATTTTTTGAATTTCCATCTCATTTTTCTGTTTTGGTTTTTCTTCCTCTATTTTGTTTATCACATAATGAATTTCATTAGGTTTGTTGTGCTTGTATGTGTGAAAGAATTGGAGGCTTTCCAATTGCTATTTGATGTTAATATTTGTTCACTTCCCTTTGATAAGTCCTAACAGGGTGCATTTTGATTATTGAAGTTGCTCCCAGCCTCCCCTACCCATTTGATATTACACTCCCAATAATTATACTATCATGTTTATCTTGAATTGCTTTATTGTTGTTTATTTATTAATGAATCTTTCCAATTCAAGCAGCTTCTGAAAATCCTTTAAAGGGAATTTTTACCACTCTTCCCAAGCCTGGGGGAGGCGAATTTGGAAAATTTTAGAGCCTTCCTGCTCTGAACGATCCTAGAATTGGTATGTGAGGAATTTTTGCTTCACTTCACTTCATTCTAGTTTTCTTTTTTGGATCTGTGTATGTTTAAATATAGACCAATTACACTTTACATTGGCCTTTTTCAAAGAGATGTTTATTTTGTTCACATTTTCAGCCTGTCTGTTGCATCTCCTCCTCTAATTGATATCATGTGTTTTTGGCGTAGTTGGCGACATAATTCAGGTCATTCATTAGACGTCTCGATAACTTTCATCATATTGAGTCTTTATGTATATGTTTATTGATTACTTCTACCTCAGAACGAATCTTACATTCCTTGTCTGCGACATCCCTTCTTGCAAACAAACTTCCATATTCAATCAGGATACTTTTAGAATCCGCTATACGAAATTGTGACAACTTCCAAGTAACCAAGGAAGATGTTGAAAAGATCATCCGCAGTCTCAGTTCTAAATTTTCATTGCTAGCAAGAATGGACTTTGTGTAATTGCAACTCTACTTGTATTTGTAGGTTGACATTGATTTTGAGAAAGAGCCGATTGGAACTGGTAGAGATGGGAAAGTGTTTACTTCAAGGATATCTGGCCTAGCAGTGCAGAAATAACAGAGGTAGTTGGATGTTTCTTGACTTGTCTAATCTTGAACTTTGCTATTCTCATGTTCCTATCAGACAAAAATCCAGTTAAAAAAATAATGCTTGCTTAGGCTGTTCAATCTAGTGTGCTTCCCAATATGTTCAAGAGCAAGTATGAAGCCATTACGAAGGGGCAACCCATTCTGGAATCAATTATCAGTTCCTCCCTCGAGTCTTTATTCGTGGGATCCAAACTCAACATACATCCATAAGCCTCCATATTTCTGTGGCATGACAATGGACCCACCCGGTGCTCGTGGAGTGAAGGATGCTTATTGCTTGCTGTTGTTTGGGGACAGTATCACTACTGATCATCTCTCTCCTGCTGGCAGTATTCACAAGGATAGCCCTGCTGCAAAATACTTCGTGGGGTTGATAGGAAGGATTTTAATTCTTATGGTAGCCGTCGTGGCAATGATGATGTGATAGCTAGAGGTACATTTGCCAATATTCGGATAGTAAATAAACTATTAAATGGAGAAGTGGGCCCAAAGACCGTTCACATTCCAACAGGGGAGAAACTTTATGTGTACGATGCAGCAATGATAAGTTTTGGTTCTTTAGCATTCAACTCCATCCACCCACCAAGAAGGACATGCGCACTCGCAAAAAAAAAAAAGGTAGATCTTGTATGAAAAACCGACCCCTCTGCTGCTCGTATTACTTCTTCTTCGCTGTCAATTGTTGTCTATTATACTTAAATTATACTATTTTTCCCAGAGATACAAGGCAGCCGAGCAGGACACCATTGTTCTGGCTGGAGCATAGTATGGAAGTTGTAGTTCTCGTGACTGGGCTGCCAAGGGACTGATGCTACAGGCAAGTGGAATTTCAAATTTGGTACTCTATGTGCATTGTGCGATTGCTTTGTATTGTGTGACCAATCTCTAAATCTCTTTTCTGTTTGCTATTCCATGTTATCACGTCAGGGTGTAAAAAAAGCGGTGATTGCCAAAAGTTTCGAGAGGATTCATCGCAGTAACTTGGTCGGGATGGGTATAATTCCACTTTGCTTCAAGCCTGGTGAAGATGCTGATACGCTAGGTTTGTGATATAAGGCTGGGATAGGATATTACTGTGACGACAGATAATGGAAAATCCTTCACTTGTACTGTCTGCTCTGACACAGAGGTACGTGTGACTTCCTTCTTTCTGCATTAGTTCTCCTTGTCATTGTACATGTTTAATTGAGATTTCAGTTAGAAATAATTTCAGGCAAACTCTTTGTCAGGTAAACTTGGGATATATGCCTTCGATGCAATTTAGCAATATAATTCATCTTGTATCGGAAATATTACCTGTTTGTATGGGAAATCCCCATGAACCGTGGTTGGTTAGAATGATTAACTGTTGCCCAATAGGCGATCAATTAATTGAATGACAAGCCATAATCTTAAAACACAGGCACAATCAAAGTCCCACTGCTTGATGAATTAATTTTTCATAGACAAAAGGAATAATTGTTTGGTGTAATTTCAATTGCTTATGCACAGGTTGAGCTGGCATAATTTGAGGCATCCTTCAGTACGTCCTTCGGAATCTAACCAAACAGTGAACTCTGTGAAGAAATACCTCGTCATGTTGTATGCCAATTTCGTCACCCTGCAGGTGTACATCGGGTTATATACATGGTTTTGCTTTCTTGATATTGAGATGGTGTGTGAATAAACGCTTGCAAAGCTATGTTTTTCCGCTTCCATGCATGGTTTCAATAATATCGGGAAATTTTAAGTTATTTTTCCGTATAGTCAAATCCGTTGGAGGCAGAAGAGTCGTGATGTGTAGTTTTTCACACTCGATAGAAATTAGTTTACTGAAAATGCATTTTTCTTCATTGTAATATTGCTGTTTTTCATTCAATCCGACGCCAAATTCGACAGTCGTGAATGGTAAAAAACAGTTGTTCAATCACATATCAAATTCAACACGTTTTCACTCCCTATAAATCTTTCCCTTAATCCTAATACTAGTCGATTTATAGATGATTGTCATGAATAACATTTTAACTTCCCCCCTACTAATCTGAATGTTAAGTGGTGATTGCGTATTTCACAGCACAGACTCTTCTCTTGAGATCCGATGGAAATTTAAACCCTTCGAAAATCGATTACAAAACAAGAAAAATGCGAAGGAAAGGCAAAAATCAACAAAGAAGGTCCATAATGTCGGGTCTAATGAACAGAGAACAAGTTCCCCTCCCTATCATTTTCCAGAACTACAAAGTATTGTCCAGAAAGAGCAGCGTGAAAGATGTAAATGACCAACTGAACTCACTTTCAAAGAAGGAAAGTTTTAACTTGTTGACAAATTCTCTGAACTGGGTATAACGCGTAAAGAGTACATCAGATAAAAAAAAGTCATGCTCAACAGAACATATATTCTACCATCACATGGAGAATGCAGGACGGTTATAAACGACAACAGTGAAAATATGGCCCTTTCGATCTCCAAAGAAAGGAGATATATGCCCAACTTGTACCTATCATAACAGCGAGAATACAGTGTTTTCCTCACGAGTTCTTAGGATGTAAAGATTTGCTTGCCTTTGAGGCGAGCGCTAATGCTTTTGCTCTTGTATCTGTCATTACCCATTCCCTCTCTGAACGTCGTCGATGTTGTCTTGCGTTCTTTGCTCTCTTTGGCGCTAAACGAGTATCTCTCTCTACAAATGCAAGCCTAAATTTTTCAGCAATGGATAATTCATTAGGACTTGAAACTGATGCAAGTGTAGTTTTAGATATAAATCCAGTAACTGCCCAAGTTTTTGGATCAATATCTTTAACAATGGGGTCATCCAACACAACTTGCAGTATTGCTTCTCGCGGAACTTCAGAGCCCCTGAAACCCAAAGGTGATGACTTCGGATTTATAGTTATGCGAGGGCAGTCAACAGATAAGCTCTCCAATGAATCCTTGTCAATTTTTGGCTGCGCGCACACAACCAAAAAAAAATCTTGTTAGGATAAAAATACAATGGTGGAACTTCCTATTTACAGAGTTTTATCTAACATAATGATGTGTATTACTGCAAGCCCAGAAAGCGCATTAGGCTAAAAAAGCTCACAAGAAGGTAAAAGTGCTCTTCTGAAAAGTAGAGAAAGACTTGCGTCTAGAAAAGTAAGTTTCTGAACAAAAATCTAGAAAAAAAGAATTAATTTCTATTTTCTAAAGAAGCTCAACGTATTTGGCAAACAAAGTTAAACTGAATTTTTTTTTAAGCTGGGGCAAATATACTCTTAAAACATGCATGTTGGTGAAAAGCATACCCATACTAGCCAGCGCAGTGACTGCGCACCATGAGTGAATTCTGTGACGTCGAGTTCCTCCCATGATTCTCCACCTAAGTCATTAAGGTTTGGTTTTAAAAGACTTGAGCATCTGCGAGCAGTATAGTCACTCCTGGGGCAACCTCTGCAACATTAACTTTGGTTCATATCCTGTTATGAGGTTTATCCCCCGAGTCAAACACAAAAACTGTGCCACATCATAGAACAATACCAACACTCAACGTAATCCACCAAGGGAGTCAGAGTAGTGAATAATTTCCATAAAGCATGTGACTATTTAGTGCAGGCACATTGCAATATAGAAGCAAAATAAAGATTTAAAGAGACTTTCGGCACAAATAAAACCACCTTTAGGATTGCCTTAGTTTCATTTGCTTCATTCTACATGCTTATGCATTTATATTTGAGTTCCTTTAAATGAAATGAAATGACAAAAAAATCAATGCATTTGAATATGGCAAAACTTGCTCTTGCACAAAATTTAGGGTGTGTTTGAACCACATTATTTTGGAAGAATGTATTTTGGAATAGTAGATTGATGGAGAATGTGTGGTTGAAAAAGAAGGAAAAATTATTAATGTGATGGTAAATATTATTTTATTGAAGAATATGTGGTTGAAAATGAGTAGAAGAATGAGAATGCAAATTTTAATGTGGCTCAAATAGGAGCTTAGAACCCTAAAAATTGTTAGGATCTGTTCTCATGCCAAAACCAAAGCATTTTCACTTTTAAGATGAAAAAATTGTGTCTTTATCTCCCTGTTAACATTGTTTTAAAAGGCTATGTGAGGCTTACACCTGGAGGCACGCCTCACATGAAGCATTCATTAAATGCCTGGAAGCTTACACTTGAGGACCATTTCAAAATCAACGCATCGATTTAATGAGACTTACGCCACAAAGCTAAGCCTCACGGCTGTTAAGCTATAAACTCGCTTGTATGCTTTTACTATTAGCCTCAGCCTTTTGAACTATTTATTTTCTGAACTTAGAACATATCGCAGGTCGTTTGTTATCCATTTTTATGTCTTTACATGGAAGGGAAAGGAAAAAGTACCATTGCAAGTGGAGGATGGTGAAAAGGAATGAGAGGTAATTACAGTGATTGGACCGTTGAAAGGGAATCGAATATACTGATAATTTTAATAAAGATCCTGCTAAAAATGATGATATAGTACACTTCCATGTTGTTTTACTTCTAGCAGTATACTAAAATTTAGTTATGAGACTATTAGTTTGAGAATTCAATATTTGTTACTTTTTCATCTATTCTAGCCTATGTTTGGCTCATGCTTATAAACTCTTGAGGCAGGCCCGCCCTATCTAATGCGTGCTGGCGGGTATGGGCTTATCTATGTGATTCGCTACGCTTGCTCTCAAAGTCTCATTTTTTTCAAAAAAGTAGTAATAACAACTCAATGTTTTGTAAGTAAAGCCTTCAGGCTCAAGTTATACTGTTGGCTTGCTACAAGCTGGGCTCAGAGACAATATATAACATCAAATCACCTTCAAAGAGCTGGCTTCCAACTGAAGCACCTTAAGAAGTTGTGCTGCCTGTATTTTGATAGACTCACAAGTACTAACATTTATTCACCACTCATTTCTATATATTCATAATTGAACGGTTTGTAAACACTTATCAAACATGTTTTTCTATTTGTTTGCATGATATGCCTTGCCTCCCAATTCCAATTGAGCCTTTTTAAACACTGGTTGTTGAGACAAATTAACACACAGTAACCCATTCTAGATGCACAATCAAATTATGCCATAGAATTGATAAGTCCACCTCATTACATTTCAGCTGCATTTGCTTAAATTGTGCCATAATAGGTTAAATACCATAATGATGAAATCTATGCGTAGATCAATTTCAAGTTATTAAAACTAAATTCAATAGAATTGAACAATACTGAAACAAATCTTGTTAACTATGAACCACGTCAAGCACAACCTGCTTAATCTATCCCTAGGAATTTAACCGTCTCTACCACTACCATGTCTTCTCATTCTGCTTGGGCAACTTATAACCATTTCGTGCACTTCAATTTCTCATTTTTCAATGCTATTATTGCTAAGCAAACAATAAACTATGCAGTATTTGAAGTTCACAAAAACAATGGAACATGAACAACAATTGCATTACTTCAAGATTTCAACGAGCATGAACAACAAAAAATTAATTGAATGGGAAGAAAGTGTACCCCCATCTCAGTATCTCAAGTGAATGACAATTTTGAAGAAGTTCGGAAACACCAGTTGATGTGAGTCTGCTGCAACGACTGCATAAATAATATACTTGATGAAAATAAAGATTTCAAAACCAATCTTATAAATTATAACAAACACACTGTAGCAAGTCACGCCAATGAAATTACTGACTATGGTTATCCAATCGAATGGACCTCATCATTATCAATACTGAAAAAAGTCTCCCTTTTCAATTCTTAAAAGATTAATCTATCTATGCTTACCTACATTGAATATTAACTCGAATTTTCTTAATTTTACCTTATATCCACTGCTCTCAGATTCTTGCATAGCTTTACAACATGACAAAGCCCAAAGTCAGAAACATCTGAACCAGATATATCAAATATCTCCCATGAACTGTCGGCCAGAGCAACGATAATGTCATCATTCAGTAACTTTCTTCTTCTTGCGATTGCCACCAGTGCCATCTATTAATTTCAAAAGAAGTAAGACAACCACAAATTTGGCTGAGCTTAAAAGGCTTACTTGTAAGCTGAAAACAACTGAACTAAGCATTGAATCTTGCAAAATTCTTGAAAAAGAAAATGAAGAAAATATTGAAATCGTGTACTTTAATATCGGAGGGAAAAGTAGAGGCAATCTCAGCCAAGTCATCAATGATGTCTTCAAGATGCCTACCCACCACTCCAATACACAAGCTCACCAAGCTAGGTGGACACTCTCGCTTCACCAAAAACGAAAAATCTGCAAGCCCAATAATTTCAACAAGTTCAATTCACACCCCAAATATATAGCTACCGATAAATTTCATAAGAATAAAAATGAATCCCAGATGGACTTACCAAATGACTGAAGTGTGGGGGCATGCGATTTGTGGGTGGATTTTGTTTTATCGGAATTGGGGTTCAATTGAAGATTGTGCAAATACGTGTTTACGCTTCCTATAGAATCCGCCGCTTCTCTTTTTTCCATCAACGATGAAAGAGAGAAAATATCGACGGCGATGTAATTCCCGATATGTACAGTCCAGACTGCGGGAAAAAGCTTGAAATCCGGCGAATTTCCGTTTCCGATGCCTGTTCTACGATCGTTTAGTTTGGATTTAGGAATTTGGTTTTAATTAAAAGTTTGAGATTTGGCTCGGCGGCTGGCTTGGCTCCACCGCCTTAATCAAAGCAACAAATATTGTAATGATTTTTTATATTTATTTTTTAATAAAAAGCTGTCCCGATCCTTACACCGCCGTGTCGGAAATAATGCTTTGTGAGTTGAATGTACGCGTCTCCTTATCTTAATCAAACCGACCCATCAAAGAGTACGGTTAATCTAAGCCGTTGAATTGTAAGTAACCCTGGTTAGAGTTTAGTATAACCGGGGTTAGAGCCACCGCCTTCCCCTTCTTCCTATAAATTAATTCCCCCCAACGTCTATTTCTCATATTTCAGTTCTTGAAGATTAGAGTTCTCAGGTGCGTTTCTCATGATATCTTCTCTTTCATTTTTTCTTAACGTTTGTTGGGTTGGATCATCTTTGATCAATTTTGCCCGTCTATTCTTGATGGGTTTTTGAAGTTTATGTCTTGCGTAAATCTCATTTTGTTTCTTGAAATCAATTGTGATCAATTTTTGATTTCTATGCTCGATGGGTTTTTATGCAGTCAATTATTGATTAATTGGGATTTTGTTTCTTGTAATCATCTGCGATCAATTTCTTGTATTCTTGATGGGGTCTTTAATTAATTATTATAAAATTAAATCTTAATAATTGGGGCTTCTTTTCTTGTATGATCACATATAATTAATTTCTGACTTCTATTCTTGATGAGTTTTTGATCTAATTAATTGAATATGTAATTATTAATTGGTGGTTTTCCTTTTTTCAAATGATTTGTCTGTCAACGTTATTGGTGTTGGCTTTCCCAATTCTTCTGTTGCTCTATACTGTGTATGTAAAGATTGCATCATTTAATAATGTGAATGAAAAATCATATGCAGCTTTACACGCATCCAATCTCCTTTTAGTCCAACAAGTTACATGGTTGAGCTAGACCTACAAGTTCCTACCGCTTTTGATCCATTTGCTGAGGCAAAAGATTCAGGTGACCCTGGTGCAAAGGAGTATGTGCATATAAGAATACAACAGAGGAACGGAAGGAAAAGTCTGACTACAGTCCAGGGGCTGAGGAAGGAATTCAGCTACGAGAAGATCCTCAAAGACCTCAAGAAAGAATTCTGCTGTAATGGTAATGTTGTACAAGACAAAGAGCTCGGGAAGGTGATCCAACTCCAGGGCGATCAACGTAAGAATGTTTCACAGTTTCTGGTTAGTGGAGGACTTGTGAAGAAGGATCAGATCAAGATTCATGGTTTCTAAGCCTTTGTAATTCTTATTAATAGCTAATATATTGCGTACCGTGAGTCGTGTGTGGTTAGTAGAGAAGCCTATTATTATATTTATGTGTGTGATTTCTTAATCTTTGAGAACAACTGTTTTGGTTTTCCTGATTTATGTTCAACCCTCTGATTATCAGATCATCTCATGGGGTATCCAGTAGATTGTAATTGCTCCTTTATTAATGAAGTTCGTATCTATTTAGCTAAAATGTTTTATCAATGCCCTTTCCCCTTTCTACAACACTCCCAAGTGTTTATTCGTCATTATTTTAGTCGTGTTCTGCTGCCTGCTTGAATGTCAGGGAGGTTTAGAAAAAGATGGCGAGGCCCTCTTTCTGCTGGCTGCAAAGTGGAGGGGGGTTGCCACTTTAGTCCTTGAAAATTTTAGTTCTTATATTTTTTCCAATCTGTCTAATAAGCTACTGGCATTGACATGCTGCCTGCTGGGGGCTTTCTTGGGTGTATTATTGGTAATTGCACAAGAACAAAGTGGGAATTCATATATCATGGTTTGATATCTGTGCTGATTTTCAAAGCTCTACCATGGTGTATGAGTATGGGGACTAATACTTGGAAACAATAATGCTTCATAACTATTAAGTAGAGCCATCAAATGAGTTGATCTTAAAAGCTATTATAACATCAGAATGGAAATCCCTTGAGAGCAGAATTTTGGCATGTTACCAGCAGGATGCAAATACTGCTGCAAATAAATGAAGAAATCAACATGCTAGCTATGGCTGGAGGTGTGTGGAAAGTGAAAATTGTTATATCAGGATTATTTCTTATCTGCAGATTCATAACAAAATCGCAAGGATTCTAATATATTCTGAACATATTTAAAACTTCAATGAGACCATTCCTTTGGCTAGGCACAGGCAGTACAATAACTACTGTGTGTTACTTCTTATACGATGCTGATAGCTCACTCAGAAGAAATGGTGATGAGATTTTGATTTCTCCATGAGCATGATCCTTCCATGCCACTTGGTCTTGTCAATGGCTCTAGTTGTAGCATCTGCAGCACATTATCCCCTTTTTGAACTTCATTGGTATGGGAAAGAAGCCATAAGTTTCTCCATACGGAGATGATGGGGGAAGGAGTGTAAAAAATCTACCTAGAATGTGAAGAAATTTGTCCTAATAAATTAGGACAAAACCTTCTGAACTGAGTGAAGGGAAAAAAGGGCACGTAGGCAGCAATCCTTTAGAATTTTTTACAAGTGGCTTTTGGCTTTTCAAACGTTCTGCCAAATGGGCTTTTAGGCTTTTCATGTCTGCATTATGGGATCTTAGTTTTCATCGCAAAATACGATTCTTAAGCTCTCAGAAAAACACTAGTATGTGTAATAGGCTATTAGCTGTAAACAAAAACATTTATTCAGGGTCAATGAAGTTTATGACAACTGGGGAGTGAGTATTTCACTTCATCCTCTTGTGTGTATTCAAATCATATTGTGATATTTATTTATCAAACTATATATAGTGACTGGGAAAGGCAGGTTGGAACCACGTTGCGGAGGGAGGAGCTTTGTGATATTGCTTATGCACTCTCTTCAGAACCCAGCCTCAGCTCTATTTCATCAGATTGCAGTTGCAGATTCAGTTTCGGGACCCTGAAGGTGCCTCTTTTTATGCTTTTGTATGATAAAGGAAGTAATTAGGGTTCCATGTGTTCTTTTGATGCTATATCAATTATTAGGTCGAGGATTGTAACAAATTGCTATTTATCTGTGGATTATATTGCTATTCACTCTTCTCTTTCAATATTGCTTCCTTTTTACTTCAGTTGATTGTGAAGTTATGGAGTTTGGCAGTTGGCACTAATTTTTGCTTGCAAAACAGTAATCTTTATGTTGGTTCTTCTTTGAATGAAAACATTTACCTCTTGTTTTGAACTAAAATACTAATTTCCTAATGTACAATTTTCTTATGGGCCTATTGGGTTTTTTAAGGGAAAATTTCATAATTAAGAGGTTTAATTTTACTAATTTCAAATTTAAAAGATTAAGTTTAAAATTTCAAATTTCAGGGTTTTTTTTTTAATTATTTTTTTTATAAATTAATTAATTAAACATATATTTTATTAATTAAATATATTAATGTCACAAATTCCATATAATTGATCACAAATTACAATTTTCATATATCACAAATTATTTTACGGTCACAATTCAAAATTTTATAGATCAAAATTTGTTCATCGGTCATAACTCAAAAATTTGTACATCACAATTTATTCATCGGTCACAAATCTATCAAATTAATAATCACATATTATTTATTGGTTACAAGTCACAAAATATCAAATTAATTGATCACAAATTATATTTAGATCACAATTTATCAAATTATTGATCATAAATTAATAATTTTTTATGTCCACGGTATGTATTGGTTACAATTTATCTGTTTCATTGGTCACACCAACCAATTTATTGGTCACAATCAACCAATTCATTTGAGACCACCACCAATGTGTGTGGCCACACCACACTACTTCCTCCAGCAGCACCATCGCCACCACCTTCGCCTCCAGTCACACCACTACCACCGTCGACCGTCATTTTCAACTACAAAATTATCACTATCATCGTTAGATCCACCACTACTAAATCCAAACAAAAATCACCGCAACCGTTAAACTCACCACCAATGCTGACAACAAAAACAACAGCCTAACATATCAAATCCATCACAACTGCCACCCCAAACACACCAAAATCGCCAGCATCCTACACCACCGCCAGCACCCTACAGCACCTCCAGCATCACACCCCACCTCCACATCACATCCCACCACCATCGCCACCACGATCACCACCAACATCACCACGACCACCACCAACACCATCGCCACATCCTGCTCAAACCGCTAACTTCACTATCGCAGCCAAAAAATAAGATCCCAAACCGGAATTAAAAGCAACCTGGATGCCGTACCACAACCACTACGAACTCACTAGACCGCCACATCACAACCACCGCCACCACCAGTTAGAGGAGATTGGTAATGAATTTTCAGGGTCAGATTCAATAGGAAATAGAGTTACTCGAATGGCACTCCTTGCTAAAGGCTAACTTTCTGGGAAGAGGATATTAAGGTGTTGGGGCAGTGGTGGAAGCTGTACTAAGGGACGAACAATTGAAGACGTGAAGGACAAAATCGGGAAGATATTACATGAGTACGAGTGCGCAATGGCAAACTGAACGGTCGGAGCAGCGACGATTTGAGCCGTTCTGACGCCGCAGCATCGGTCGGAGTAGCTTCTGATGCCGCAGCATCGACCGGAGTATCTCCTTCGTCACCAGTTGCCGGAGTTTGAATGGGTCGGTTGCCGGAGAGAGAGAGAGAGAGAGAGAGAGAGAGAGAGAGATGAAGAGGGAGAAGAGGAAGAGAAATGAAGAGAGAGAAGGGAGAGATGAAATAAAATTAGGGTTTGGATGGGTATAATATTTAATTATTAATTCAATATCTGATTTTTGAAAAGTGAAACTTTATATCTGAAATTTGAAATTGAATTCTGAAAACTCTTGATTGGTGTAATTTCCCCTTTTTTAAGCCACGTTCTGAATATTTTCTCGGCTTCCATCTTACGGTTTTATGTGTTAGGTTTTACAGTTTCGTCTTTGAGTGTTAGATGTAGGCTTACTAAGAATCCTGCATTTTCTGTCTATTTTCTTTAGGGTGATTAGTTTGTACTGAATCTTTTGGTTAATTGCCTCTTTGCTTGATTACTAGAAAGTGAAAGCATGTTTGGTAAGTGTTTATAAGTTGTTTTAAATTATAAATAGATAGAAATGATTGGTGGATGTAGTACAAGCATTTCCTATTGAACTTCATTAGTTAAAAAAATTCTCAGCAAATTCAACAATTCTTCAGCTCCTTCCAGCTCGAGCGTCCTGATTTTTGGTACAAAAAATGGGTAAGAACCTTCCTACATCAAGATGTGACGAAGGAATATTGCAGTTGCCTAATGGTAAAGCCCATTTCATACAAAGAATTAAAGAATGCGACTGCAAATTTTCAACGTGCTACTAGCATTTGGTTCCTTTTCAAGAGATGGATAAACGAGCACTCTCTTACTGCTGCAAAGCCAGGATCTGGAATGGCCATTGCCGTCAAGAAGTGGAACACATGTGGATATGGCTTAGTCCTGCTAACTTTTTGATAAGCTCTTGTAGGAACCACTCAATATTTTGCAGACGGAGCACTTCGTTATCCAATCCTGATTAAACTTGTTGGGGTGACACCTGCTTGTGGTGTATGAGTTCATGCCAAAAGGAGGCTTAGACAATTACTAGTTCAGAAGTAGGTGGCATAGCTACTTAATGTCATATTAGTTACTTCAGTAATCCATGAAAATACTCTGTTTCTTCTGGAATCTTACATAGGATCTCACTTCATTCCTCATCACTATATCTTGTCCTGGAAATCTCCTTCAAAGAAGTGTTCGACTGAGCCCCTTTTACATGTCCAGCCTAAAACAAGGTCTCGAGTATTCTTTTGTGGATCGATCACTTCATTTTACATTCTCCAGGAACCCAAGTGGTTCGTGTTTGATGTATGCATGTACATGCTCCACATCACCAATGATGTTCTGCCTATCGTATTTGTGATGCTGAGATAATAAAGTCCTCCTTCCAGTCCAAGCCATGGGGATTACGGCCAAATCCGACAGCAAGTAACAATGACTGAAATCTGGAAGATCATTTCGAAAGTTTCAAACATGAAAGACCTCTAAGCAAGGATCCCGAACTTTCGAAATGCTGTTATTATACCGTTGATAATGTTAACAGCATCGCCAATGCTTACTATGGATTGTATGAATAAAATAGATTGCATTTATCTCCTAAATACAACGTAAGTGAGATTCTGTGTAGCTGACATAGCGAGGAAAAAATAAGAAGAGTATTTAGATGTAGTGGCTCTATTTAAAAGAATGCTTGAATACATGTCATCGGTCCAGTTTGGTTTTGACCCTAGCTGAATTGTTTGTGGTTAAGAAAATAAGTTCTCAAAATTAAAATAGAAAATGGCCGGTTTAATTTTTTAAGCCCCCGTTTAGTGCACATTTTTGGAAAAAGAATGCATTTTTACTGTTGATGTGATAAGAAATATGTGATTGAAAAATATGTATTATTGAATAGTAGATTGATGGAGAATGTGTGGTTAAAAATGAAGGAAAAGTTATTGATGTGATGGAAAATAATATTTTATTAAAGAATGTGTGGTTAAAAATGAGTAGAAGAATGAGAATAAAAAAATTAATGTGGGTCAAATATCGCGTAAATGTGAAGAGTTGTCTTCGTCTGTTTTACAATTAAACGTATTTGGATATTCCCGAATAAGTCTCCGTTTGACCTCCATTATTTCTAATTATAATTTTTGGAATAATATTTTTTTTTTGAAGAATTTGTGGTTAAATTTTGAGGGATTGCTCAACTGTTCAAGCATTCGGGTTGTTCAACAATGGTCACAAGCTCGAATCCCCTCAGAGCCACTGATGTGAGTACCAGATTGTAAACTTCATGGCCTCATGGGATTAGTCGAAGTGGGCGCAAGCTGGTCTGGACATCCACTGTTATAAAAAAAAAAGGATTTGTGTTTAAAAAAGATGAAAAAATTTGTTTATGTGTAATATTATTTTATGAAAAATTGTGTAATTGAAAATGAGAGAGTAATAAATTTTTGGAATAATGAGAGCCAAACGGAGAGTAAATTTAGTATTGTTACTTCTCCTATACGTGTAGTTAATTTTAGAAAAGTTGTCGAGCCTACGAAAATTCTGCTACTAGGCAGCCCAACAAATGAGATGGATGTTGTAAGCCATTGTTTGAAGTTATACTTGTATTGCCATTAAGCTTCCGTTTGGTGCACATTTTTAGAAAAAGAATGCATTTTTGCGGTTGATATGATGAGAAATAGGTGGTTGAAAAAGAAGAAAAAGTTATCGATGTGATTGAAAATATTATTTTATTGAAAAATGTGTGGTTGAGAATGAGTTGAAGAATGAGAATGAAAAAATTAATGTAGGTCAAATATCGTGTAAATGTGGAGTTGTCTTCGTCTGTTTTACAATTAAACGTATTTGGATATTCCCGAATAAGTCTCCGTTTGACCTCCATTATTTCTAATTATAATTTTTGAAATAATATTTTTTTTTGAAGAATTTGTGGTTAAACTTTGAGGGACTGCTCAACTGGTCAAGTATTCGGTTTGTTCAACAATGGTCACCAATTCGAATCCCCTCAGAGCCACTGAGGTGAGTACCAGATCGCAAACTTAATGGTCTCATGGGATTAGTCGAAGTGGGCGCAAGTTGGCCTGGACATCTACTGTTATAAAAAAAAAAAAAAAATTTGTGGTTAAAAAATATGAAAAAATTTGTTTATGTGTAATATTATTTTATGAAAAATTGTTTAATTGAAAATGAGAGAGTAATAAATTTTTGGAATAATGGGAGCCAAACGGAGAGTAAATTTAGTATCGTTACTTCTCCTATACGTGTAGTTAATTTTAGAAAAGTTGTCGAGCCTACGAAAATTCTGCTACTAGGCAGCCCAACAAATGAGATGGATGTTGTAAGCCATTGTTTGACATCCATTAAAATTTAGATTTTAATAAAAATTGTGGGTCTCGTAAAATAATTAAAAATAAAATTGAGAAAAAAAATTCGAAAAACACTCACAAAATATCAATAATAAAAACGAAAGGCCCATATCTACTCTACTCAGCAGTTAATATTCATATTTATTTTCTTGTCAGTTGAGTATGAGCATGGGGCACTCCATTTCCCGATGGAGCTACATTTTTGCTGGCGTTAATGGCTTGACCGCTACACGAACAATCACGTGAGAGGTAGCTCCATTCCAACCAACATAAATGCGCTCTCTCTTCTTGCATTCTTGTGCTATAAATGCTCCTGCAATTTCACACTTGCACGTACTTGTACTGATTATCTTCCTTTTTTCGCTCCTATTAGTTCAACAACTCAAAATCGACAAGGAATTGTTCAAGAATATTACAGGGTTTTCTGCACTCATGTTGATCTCATATACAGTGATGAAGAATTGGCTTTCTCGAATTTTCTCTTGGGTTTCGACGGAACCCATTGTTTCCGAATCTGGGCTTCTCTTTTCAGTGATGAAGAAAGTCACTATGGCTCTACTCACTTGCATTTTTGCTTTAGGTATGTTCAATTTGATCCTGTTAATTACCGCACGCTACTTGGTGTTTTCGATCTGTAAAATTTCAAATTGTGTCTATTTTTTCTATTTATTTGTGAATTAATAATTCTCAAATTGTGATTTTTTTTAGGTGGAGCTACAGTTGGAGCAATCACCGGAGGACTCAAAGGACAAACTACAGAAACTGGTTTTTCACGTGGGGTGGGTGTTGGTACGGTGGCTGGGGCCATCACCGGAGTCCAATTGATGGAACTTATAGTTAATGGAGAGCCATTTTCTAAGGTGATACATGCAATACATAAAACTGGGTAGAATGCTGAATTTAATATATATCGCTTTCATGATTAAAAATTCACCAGCAAACTGCAGTAATTTATATTTGTGGGGTAGCTGAATACTTACATTAATGTCCCCTTTGATTTTTCCATTATAGGGACCAGGTTATCATCGTTACAAGAAACGTATCTTTTATGTCAATGTTAGGATAATGTGCCTAAAATGATTTTGTGATTGTATGAATGGAGTAGTTCTTGATATTTCAAAGCGTCGATTTTTTGTCCAACATCGAGATAACTGCTCGGTTTTGCGCTGATATATGGTTTGGTGAAACCATTAGTGATCATTCAGGTTGCACTAGTTTAGTCTGTCGTTGAACATTGGGATAATCTTTCGGGTTGTGCTGATATGTAGTTTGGTAAAACCATTCATGATCTTTCAGGTTGCTCTGTTATAATTTGTCGTTGAACATTGCGATAATCTTTCGGTTTGCGCTGACGTGTTTGGTGATATTAATGATCTTTGAGGTTGCACTAATATGTGGATTTCTTGTATGAACATACAATTGATTTTATGATTAATGAATGGGAATAGTTTTTGATACTTTGAAAGCGTTGAACATTGGGTTAACCTTTCCGGCGGCGCTAATATGGTGAAACCATTAATAACCTTTCAGGTTGCACTAATATGTAGTCTTGTAAACGGGAAGATATTTATGGAATGGGTGAGTCCTGCCGTGCTAAAAGCTTATCAATGGCAGGTGAGTAATAAATTTATTATCTAACATTTTTAGTGTTGTGTTCCTCGGATTTTAGAATTGTTAGCTGAGCGGTCGAGCTTATTATTCCATTTAATTGCTGATAAGACCGCTGCTTGGATGTTCTAGATTAGCACTATGGAAACAAGTTTGAGGGAGATTTCAGACATTTTTGACGTCAATACAACTAGAGGATTGTCTCAAGATACAATTCAGAAGCTACCAATTTACGAATTCTATTCCCCAAGGACGACATCTTGTCACGAGACAAATTGTACGATTTGCTTACAGGTGAGTTCTCTATTGATCTATTAAGAGCGGCATTATGAGAAGAGGTGATTTTGAGGGTTGTGATTGAACTATACATCCAACGTCGGGACCTAAATTATGAGGGGAGGGGACCTAAATCGTATGTACTACCTAAGACGATTGAACTATCTAATCCACCTGATTTAGACAGGAAGATGGTTTGTGAGTCGTCTCAACGACTCGTAACTCATTTTCCTCCAATTACATAAAATAGACCATTTTGGATATATATAGCACATATAAACCTACCATTCTCAACCTTCTGGAAACCAACCCAAGTTGCCATTTGCTCTCCTAATTACTCTTACAAGCCTTTTATTTTTATTTTTGTTTATCAGTTTTTTACTGTTGTCACTTTCTTTACTGGTAGGACTTTAAGAACGGAGAATCTGCAAAGATGCTACCGAGCTGTAGACATTTCTTTCATGTGCACTGCATAGACGAATGGCTTCTCCGGCAGGGAACCTGCCCAATGTGTAGAAGAGATATCTGAAAGGAACTGGATGACGAGGAGAAAACGGGTGGTGCAAGTTTGTAAAACAACCAGTAGGGAAGAAATAGGAAATAGGTCAGATCCTAATGAAAATGTCCCAGTAGTGCTTCTATCCTTAACTTTGTTGTAGATAAATTTTCAAAGAAAGAACTTTGAAGAAGTGCTCTATGAATATATATAATCTCTCACTACTTTAGATTGTTTCTTTTAAATTCTCTCCCCCCTTATTTTCATCAAAGTTACTGCTTTGTGTAGCTAAATTAACCACAACTACATTGAATCATTGGATGGGAATCTTTCATGCATAAAATTTGAAAGAATGTGTTCCATGAAAAATGAAATTTTTTTTTATAACCGTGGATGTTCGGACCAGCTTGCGCGCATCTCGACTAATCACACGAGATCCTAAAGTTTACGGTCAGTCTTCACCTCAATGACCCTGAGGGGACTCGAACTAATGATCACTGGGGAGCAAAGAAAATATTTTGATGGAATACTGTTTTTAAGGGATGGGTTGGAGTCTAATGGTGTTATTTTTTATAAGAAATTATTATGCCTATTTGAATATAATGTGACTACTAATACTATGAGGCTGCACAACAAATCACTAGCGTTTAAATATTTTCGTTGTCGAATTTTTTCACATATTTTCTAGTAGTTAATCGTTAACTTTTTCAAAGCATTTTTTTGACTCATAGTTCGATAGCAAAACTATCAAATCACTTGACATTTATCTTCAATTGAACTAAAAGCTATCCGTGAATTTAACGTTGAAATCAATGATTTTCGTTACTTGGAGATTTAGGTTCATACATTTAAATTAACTGGGGGTTCAAAGCCTCACTTTTTGAATGCCCAACCCTGATTTACCACTATCTTTATGTTTTGAAGTTTTGCTCTTATTATTTAAAAATAATTTTAAATACGGTTCATGGGTTTTCTACATAGGCTTCTTATAAAAAAAATGGGCTTTGATAGATTTAAATGGACTATTCACTTTTTAATGGGCCAAGTCCATTTATGCTATTTTTATGAATTTATGATGATGAAACATCCGTGATTTGATAGTTTATGTGGAATAATAGAATTAAACGGTTCAATTTTTATACGATAGAGGGGGGAGAGGGAGAAAAATGTGAGAGATAATAGATTGTCACGTCATCGATATTTCATCGTCATGATGATAAATATCATGGGTTAATTCATTTGTATATAATGATTTGTACATAATGGATTATCCCCTCTCACACGATGCACATGGCCGCATCTATTTAAAAATTTCGACAATATGGTCCACATCCCCATTGTGAGTAGTATGTAAAAGATTCGGTAAAAAATTCGGTACATTAGGATGATCCAAATATCATTACTTTTTTAATTTCTACAAGCAGTTAAATTTCAACTTCCATCTTATCTTTTGAATTCTATATATTATGCTTATTTTGATGATTAGCAAGAACAACAACGTGGGAGGAAAGGGACGAATATGAAATAATCTTGTAAATTTAGGGCATTAAGTGCTTTTTTTCTTTAATGGAGGGTGCAAATCAGCAATCTTGAAATATTACTAGGAATAAGAAGGCAAGAAATGTTCATACAAGTAACAAATCTTTTAGGCACCTCAGTTGCTAACTCCACTCACTCAAAACACAGTCACAATAGAGAGACTTATGGCGTGGTGCGGCGACTCAAGGAGCTTCCATTTGCCGGCAATCGATGTCGGCGCGCTACGTAATCGGGCCCCACAGACGGCGGCTTTCGGCTGCGTGTCATTTGCTGGCGCTAACCTCCGCCGCCCTTCGTCATCTAGATCAGCCCCGCAACTGTTTGCTTCCTTGAGCATTTCTACTGATGCCACTTCCGGTGAGTGCCCCTTATTGAACTTCCGTTTCAATTGCTGCAATAAAGAATTTTGTTTTATGCATTACTTTGGGATTCCCTGAAACTTTCTATACAAAGCCGTTTGTAAAAATATATAAATTAAAAACTTTTCATGTCTAAATTTTACACAAAAAGTGCAGTTTATATGATATGAATCCAGTGATGAAGAATGTGAAACATAAGGTTGCGTTTCGTTGCTGTATTCAGTTTTTAATTTTGCAAAATACTTTAAAAAACGTGTTTGGCTTGATATTTGTGAAAATGCAATTTCGAAAATAAGATAAACTTATAGCACAAAATTGAAAAACATATATTTCACATTTTGAGTGAAAAAAAATTTATTTATATAAAATTTTAAATACTAAAAATTTTAAAAAATAAAAATCTTAAATTTTAACAAATAAAAATCAATAAAATAAAATCATAAAAACTTCTAGAAAAATAAAAAATAAAAATAGTTGTAGTTATTAATGATTATTTTTATAAAAATTCTAAAAAAAAATATTTTTGTGATTACATATAAAAATATCCTCAATCCACATCATTAATTTTTATTTTTATTTCTATATTTTTAACCCAATTTATAATTTGTTTTTATTTTTCTTTTGTAGGCTACAGTGTGGAAAAATATTGTGATTTACCAACTTAAAAAAA